CTGCTAGCCGAGCCCTGCCCGGGTACCCACGGGCTGCTGCAGCCCAGCCCAGCCCCACCGAGCTCATCAGCCCCTGTTCTCCAGCTGCCTGGGCCCTGGCACGTTCCCTGCTCCTTTGCCCGAGGGTTGGCCATTGGGGACCTCGTGCTGTTGCATGCCTGGCTCGGACTGGAGTGCAGCCCTTGCTCTTCCGGCTGCCAGCGCCTGTTGTTTGGCTGTTACAAGAGGCTGCTTTATCTCGTGGGGCTCGTGTCTGATTTCCCAAGCAGGCTGCTTCGCCCCTCCCCTGAGCGCGGCGAGGAGCACGCTGGCTGCCGTGCCGCTGAGCTGTGAAGGGGCGTTATTAATGGGAAGCTTTGCAGGTCCTATGGACGCTGTCTGGGTAGTTGCCCTCTCTCCTTTGTGCTGTGGCAGGCTGTAGCTCTCCCGGTGGTGCTGGAGAGCAGGTGCCCGTGTCCAACACATGTCTCTGGATTTGGTGAATGCCAAACACAAGTATCTCTGAGAACCTTAAATCCCCAGCAACGTCTTCCCGGCGCTGATAAACCCTGGAACGCAGGCAGTCAGAACACGGGCGCTCGCTGCCGCGCAAGAGACAAAAGACTCCCACACAAACAAGCTCACGTACATGGACAGCCTATCAGTGTACTGCCGAATACAATAGTGTGGCTGAAAACATCACACTGTGCACAGGAAATACAGCGGGAGCCCAGAAGCCAGCTGGAAACGGAAAATTCCCTTCGAAACACAGCCCAGCCCCTGCCTTTGTCAGGCAGCGACTAAGAGCTGGGATGAAATTAAAAGCTCTTTCTGTTTAGAGAAAGGTTCCCTGCTGCGCCCTGATGGGGTTTGTGCTGCTTTTAACCCTCCGCTCTGGCACAGCCGCCTGCATCGGACAAACACAAGCTGCAACTGTCTCACTGAGTGACGCAAGCCAAGCGGCCAGGCTCTCACATTTCAGGGAACCCGAGGTCTGGGAGGGGCCTCCAGAGGTCCTCAGGTCCAGTCCCCACCCTAGACCGTCCCCGGCAGGGGTCTGCCCACCCTGCTCTTAAATCTCCCCAGTGATGGAGCTTCCACAGCCCTGTGACAGCGCACCGGGGGCCCGGGCCCTGCACACCACCCGCAGCCAGAGGGGACACTCTGCCGGCCAGTAGAGTGGAAGGGGTATGCACAGGAGCGATGTGAGCACAGACCCCGAGAGCAGGCAGCCTTATTCCTCTGGGGGGGAAGGGCTCATGGGCCCTGAACCCCCTTTCCTGCTCCCGCAGCCGAGCCAAACAACCCCCCAGCCCCGGCCCGCTCAGCCTCTCGCTTCGTTCAGATTCCTCCATCTAGCCCAGGTGTCAGGCAGCTGGGCCACGCCTCTGGGACCCCCGCGCTGGGCCCTGCACACAGACAGTCGCTGCAGCCCAGCACGGATCAGCACAGCGCAACACGGCACCCGGTGACTGCAAACCAGAGCGGGCAGCCGAGCCAAACAACCCCCCAGCCCCGGCCCGCTCAGCCTCTCGCTTCGTTCAGATTCCTCCATCTAGCCCAGGTGTCAGGCAGCTGGGCCACGCCTCTGGGACCCCCGCGCTGGGCCCTGCACACAGACAGTCGCTGCAGCCCAGCACGGATCAGCACAGCGCAACACGGCACCCGGTGACTGCAAACCAGAGCGGATCCAGGCCCACCGGAGTGGACAGCCCCCCCACGGCACACCCCAGGCAATTTATTTACACCCAGACAGGTAGGACGTTTTCCTAATGTCCAGCCAGTTGGACGCCCCTTGCTTCTTGTCCTATCATCAGAGGTCACGGAGAGCAATTCTTCTCCCTCTCCTCGTGACCCTTACGCTAATCGTGTCAACTCTCCCTTTTCTCTTCTCAAGACTAAACCGACCCGTTCTTTCAGTCTCCCCTCCTAGCTCATGTTCTCTCCACCTTTCCTCATTCTCGTTGCTCTTCTCTGGACCCTCCAATTTCTCCGCGTCTTTCCTGGAATGCGGCACCCAGACCTGGATACAACCGTCCACGTGAGGTCCAACCAGAGCGGAGCGGAAGAATGACTTCTCCGGTCTTGCTTAGAACATTCGTGCCTAGTACACCCCAGAATGAGGTTTGCTTTTTTAGCAACAGCCTCACGTTGCTGACTCACATACATCGCGTGATTCACTCTGACCCCTAGATCCCTTTCTGCAGGTCTCCGTCCTAGACAGCCCTTCCCTGTGTTCTGTGTGCGACTGGCTGTTCCTCCCTAAGCGGCGTGCTCTGCATTTGTCCTGGCTGAATTTCACGCTGTTTCCCTCAGGCCATTTCTCCACGTTGGTCTCAGACTTTTTGGCCCGTGGCCCACCTGGCTCAAGGTAAACCTTCCCATGGGCCACCAGTTGCTAATGGAAACTCACCACTAACTACAGAATGGCGCCCGAGCCATTTTGCTAGTGCTGCAGCTGGGGAGAGCGACTCCATTGAAATGATTAAACAGGAAGAGCTTCACCTTTCTCGTATTAGTTTATCAAACGCCATTTTCAATACAGTAAACTATTCATGTATGTCCAGTGCAAAAGGATTCAATGTCTTTTTTGGATCGGGGCCACTCGCCCTCAGAAAAATCAGCTGGGGACCACCAAGTGAGAAACAAAAAAACTTCAAAACCCCCAGCCCACACGGACACACTGTGACGGCGCGTTGGGGTCCCCCGTCTCCTGCACCCCGAAATGGCACAAACAGACTGCACCAGCCGGTGGAATAGAGGAAGTTTATTGCCTCTCCAGGATACAGCGCAGCACAGATGGAATCTGGTCACAGAGCTGGGCTAGGATGCCTCAGGCCCCCTTGAGAGGGGGGAGACTGGGCCCCTAAACTCCAGCCCCTTCCCCTAGGCTCTCCTCCATGCTCTC